GGTAGGAATAGCAATTGATGTTTGTGAAAAAGATCTCTTCATAACTGAATTTTAGGACACTGATGGAACAGTGCAATTCCTGCAATGTGTTAATGACATATTTGACATATTTAATTCTAGAAATTTAAACAATGTTGGTTTAAAAAAGCCACTTTGCCTAAACAATAAAACGGATAAATATTTAATAAATTTGACGTATATGAGTACTTTCAAGCACTTAAACGTCCGGATGGGAAATTTCACATTAATACTCAGAGACAGCTAGGGATTTTAGGCTTTATAAATAATATTATTGCGCTAAAATGGATACATGTAAATTTCGTTGAAAAACAAGATGGTATGAAATTTTTAACTAATTTTTTCAGCGATATCCGATCAAAAGGAGGAGGAGGCTTTAACAATAATCCCACAGTTAAAAACTTTACGGCAGCCTACAAATGATTATAAGAAATAAAATTAAGTGAAAGTGGCAATTGCTTGCCCCTAGAAAAAAATGCAGTATTATCTACCAGATCCATGTCAACAATTGATAGAATTAATAATTTATCAAATTATAACAATATTTTCAACGAGCTGTTGCAGGAAGGTACGGAATCTATCCAAGTCGAAAAAATAGATTGTGACGAAGATATGGTGCTTTTGGATAATACTGCTTCTTGGTCTCAGATGTCTGCATAAATGTCTATGATGATACTTTCATATATCTGATAATGTTATAAGACGATTAATTAAAAGAATTAGGTGTGATATATGTTGTTCAAAGTTTGACGGTGAGTTCTTCAGAAATGTTTCACAGTGCATTAATTGTAAAGAAAGATTATTCCAAAACCAACAAGGATTATCTGACATACCCATCAAATGATGTTGTCACATTATGTTGCAGTGTTGAAAGTTATTTTAGATAAAATATGAAGAATAAAATAATGGATGACTTAATTTATGCCAAAAATGTATTGCATGTTCTGCGCAATAATCAGCGCCTCTTCGATTCTTTGTAGAAACATGTTTTAGATCAAGCTTCGTTGGACGATCACAGTTATCTCCTTATGAAAGGTATTATTAAAATATTCTTTGACCTCCGATTAACCTCTTAGCTACCAAGCGGTCAAATTTGACCGCGGCGTTAAAACATGAAATCAAATCGATAAAGTTCGATAGAGAATCCTTACGGACCCATTTGAATAAAACTGTTACATTCAGGGGTCAATGAATGTTAGTGAATGGTATCTAAAATAAGTATTAAAGGAATAAACCTGCAATATTTTTTCTACTTAATTTATATTTTTGATTCGTTATTTTTAAATAAAATTTTATTATGCAATCCGGACTTCCACCAAAGCAAATTTCTAACGGTGTGCGACGCTTCATACAAAATATATGGAGACGGAGGGCCTCCCATCCAATGAGCGTTAGTTTCTTACATACACGGTAGGGTTTGCTTGCATATAAATCTCTAAGGCTCTCTAAGGTCGCGGTCATTAGACTCGTCGGTACCTGACTCCTAGGTTTTATCGATACTATGATTTTGTAATGTTGACATCACTATGACACTCACACATGCGCATTTTCGTTTTTGTATCGCCTTCGGCACGTCTTTGTTCATCTTTTACATTGTAAATCTATGATGACAACAGACTATGATGAATAATCTCTATTTATAACAGGTTTCAGTGTTTTTTGACTGGTCTTATATCACCCGTTGGACTCTCGTTTTTTATTGAATCTTCAACTCTATTATTGATTGATTTGGTACTTGATCGATATTATTACAATGTTGCAAAAGTCCAGGTCAGAAAATTGGCGATGTTTCACTACCATGCTTTGGAAAACACCGAGAGTCCTGGTGCCGGATTTTTTTCCGGTCGTGTCTGATTGCCGTCCTATCGGTCTATGAGAGTGAGCGAATAGAGTGTTCACATGTGCTTGCAAATAAACTCGGAACCTTTAATCGTATATTGCACGAATGATTAGCCTTTGTCATAATTAATATTCCTGGGCTTAAATGTTATTAATTATCTACCTTGCACCTTATTTTCGCCATTTATTAGTGACTCAAGAGAGTCCATTTCGGAAATACTATCTAGAGCTTTAGCTTAAGTTTGTTTACGACTTTATTCTCAAAGTATATCTTTACTTAGGTGCAATCTTAACAATATAGTAATAATAATTTTTATTGCTGCATAACAATGAGTTTACATAAAATATATATTAACATACTGTCTAAATATTATATCTTAGATTATATTAGAACCTCTGACTTCTAAACTAGGCAGGGTCTGTATCATAGAAATCATCATCAATCTCTTCACAAAATCAGTGTCGGCAGGACAAGTATGAGTTAGCAAAAAGTAAAAAGAAAGTAATAAATGAAAAAATAATAAACTTGATAACATAAAAACGAAACAATATAAAAGGAGTAAAATAAAATAAAAATTAAAACCAAACGAAATATATGGGGGTGTTTGGTGGTGTGTGTGTGTGTGTGTGTGTGTGTGTGTGTGTGTGTGTGTGTGTGTGTGTGTTAATGTGTACTGATGTGTGTATGTGTGTGAGCGCGCGAGTATGTTAGCAACAGTCAAACTAGGAGGTTTTCACACACGGTTAGATCTACGTTTGCGTAAAACCTTAGTATCAAAGGGCATTTTCATGTGTTTTCTTCAAGTAACTCGTAAGATATAAAGTTGCCTGACTGATAACATTTTACAATCGGTGTAAAACTTCGATGTGTCGTATAAAATCGGTTTAAAATTTATAATTTTTAAAACTGATCGCTGAGCTCTTTCCACAGATATAAGAACTGTTTTATTAGCAGCGCCCCAAACCGGGATACAATAAACAAGAAGCGATTGACAGAGGGCAATGTATACCCATATTTACTATGTGTTTATCAGCTACTTGCCTTAAAGTTTTAAAAATATATATGAGTTTTTTGATACGACCAGTAAGTTGTGCAACATGAGTACTCCAATTTAGGTTACTGTCAATGTGGACACCCAAATATTTAATGTTATCTACTCTTTCTATTGATTTACACGGGCATGCATGTGACCGATTTGTGGAACCGCATGTGTGTATTTTAATTTCATAGGCGTTTAACACAGGTTGTGTATTTTTTTAATGACAAAGTTATAAATTTAGTTTTATTAATATTTAGTGTGAGAAGATTAGAAGACAGATACTGTATTACTAGCTTCAAGGCATGCTCAGCGGTTTTTCCAACATCTTCCCGGGAATTGCCGTGGATTATTAAAGTAGTTTCATCTGCATAGCCTAATATTTTGCAGTTTGGCAAAGGACATCTTACACAGGTCATTGATGTAAATTAAAAACAAGTTAGGACCTAATATACTACCCTGTGGTACACCGTAGCGCAAATAATCGTATCCACTACAAACATTATCTATTTTTACACATTGGCTGCGGTTACTGAGGTAATCTTTAAATATTTCCAGAGCTATGCCTCTTACTCTTATTCTTACCATTTTAGTATTTTGAGTAAGACTGGAACTGAGACTGCGTCAAAAGCCTTTGAAAGATCTAGAAATACCGCTAGGAATTTGGACTTTTTTACAAGTTCTTAAAAACCATTTCAGTAAAAGTTATTACAGCTTCTTCTGTTGATTTTCCAGAACGAAAGCCAAATTGATTATTCTATTTGGTATATTTATCGAGAAAATTCACAAGACGTGAATTAAGCACCATTTCTAATATTTAAAAAAAAAACTGGAAGCACAGGCCTGTAGTTATTTACAATATCCCGTTTACCTCTCTTATATACTGGATGAACGAGTGCCCTCTTAAGAAGGTTAGGGAATTTGCCCGTTTGAATTGACAGGTTACATGTTTAGGTCAAAGTACTTTTGTAAGCCCTAATGATCAATGTAGAAATACCATCACATCCTGTAGCACTATCAGAACGAAGTCTAATATGTATAAATTACTGGTCACGTTGTTTGTCCGCGATGGCCTCCAAAACTACTAAACCAATTTTAATCAACTTTGCACACCGTGTGCAGTTTGGTACAACTTGAGAGATAGGATAGTTTTTTTTTGACCATGAGTGACCCACAATTTTTTTCGAATTTAAGGATTTTAATAGGACATGACAAAGGGTCGTTGAAAATGGCAGAACAAAGTCTGCCTGGCAAGCTAGTATAGTATAGAATATAATTAAATTTTACAGGTTCTTTTTCACTGTCTTATGTTATAATTCGCATTATTAAATTTCAAAGAAAGAAACAGAAAAGTGAGGAATGGTAGAGGAAATTTTCTAAAACAAAATCAGAATTTAGATATATTTTTTATTTTTGTTCCGATTTCTTAGTAAGGCCAGGAGCTGCCAGTGGAAAGACCATAAAGACTCGATCTGAAATCAATATTTAAATATAATATACCCGTGTGTAACTGAATAAATATTTCATTATAAAATGACTGCGCAATCAATGCGAAACAAAAATATGTGCTTGTGATATTTTTAAATATTCACAGAATTTTTGTATACGTATACATAAACTAAAAATAAATAAATATGTAAAAGCAAAACGTCATATTTCAGCCTACATTCTTCCCTCTCCGGGCATAGGACTTTTTTAATTTCTGTAAGGGTTACAGAGCGATTAGTCTCCGCACTGCTCCTGGTTTCCTCAAATCAGCACTTAAGTGCTGATAAAATTAACAATATATTTGTTGCTGGCAGCTTAGCCTCTGAACTACCTCATCATATAAGTTATATATTAAGTAAATGACGGATCGGCAACCACACTTTTTAATATATCCATAGAATGATATATTAAAAACTGTGGTGCCAATCAGCCTGCCAAACGTGGCAACTATGGCAAATATCCTTACTATGCGGCAATCAATAGGAGGAGCCCATATTAAGCGTAAGGAACTTTTGATAGTCTGAAATTAATGATAAATATTGTAATTATTTAGAATTTTCTTAAAAGTGTCTTTGCTTAATTCTGAAAAGAAAAAATTATTTTGTAGTTAAATATACATCAATTTTCATACCCAGATTTTGATATATCGCTATTTCCCATATTCAGACTAGCACCAGAGCATTGGTTATTTCTAGCTTCATTTAGGTCGTTGCATCTTCTTCCAACGAAGTGGTCTGTTCGTACACTGGAGTCAAATAGGTCGTATGCCCGACTGTGAGAGCAGGTACTGATCCAGCAACCCGGCTGAGGATTTCTACCGCCGTTTGGGTAAAAGTTTGCATGTCCAATAGGATCGAAGATTCCAAGGAGCCCACCATCGGTATGTATGGTTTCAACGTACTGACCGGAGTTAACGTCCAAGGCATTTGAGTTTCCACCAAATCTAGGACCAGCCGGATCAAGACCTAAAATTATTTGTATCGATTACTACACGATTTTGCAACGTAATCAACTGTAGTTATAAAAAATAAAGAAAAATTGGTTTAAATTGACTAACCGGTAACACGTCTAGGTCTTCCGCCGACGGTACGTCCAGCGTTACCCACAATATGAGCACCCAAACTGTGGCCAACAAAATGGACGTTGTTCCAGTCACCACCAGCAGTGTTAAAAAGCCAAACCAAAAAGTTGCCAAGATACTGTCCCACGGTAGGTACACCGTTTGAAGACGTAATATAATTTGAACTTGCCAATCCGCGCCAGTCAAGGACAATTACATTGACGTCCTGTGTATCTAAGAAAGCGGAAGTTATACGTTTGTTTACGTTTGAGTTTCCATTACTGTTCCAGCCGTGAACGATCACTTTCAGTGGTCGATTCGGGTTGTAGTTGGAGTTACGTACCGAGTCAGCGTTACCATTAACAAGTATTTGTGCGTCGTTAGGATTACGTCTAAAAATGAAACATCCTGTTAAATTTCAAGGCGTTTTAGTTGTATTTGTTTAGGTGTTATTGTAGTTAAGCTTTGGTTTAAAAGTTGTAAAAAATCTTATTACCTTTAATCCATAATAGACTTAAGTTACTTTTAAGAGTGATTGTAGTCAAGCGTTACCTTATAATGAAATTACTAATTATAATTATAACTAAGTACCTTGTGAATAGCCAGTATTGATTGTTAGCTCCATTTCTGGTTCTCATAATTTCCTCATTGACGGGTTCATCTAAGTCAACTAGATGTGGTACTTCTTCGCCATCTGGCATCCATATGAATCTGCTTTGACCCTCCACATAGTGACTGTTGTCCCCAGGTATCAGGCTAAATGGCGCGCCGTAGCACACTGAATTTAAACATGTTGTAAATTTCAGGATTATTTAAAATTGCGAAATTAAATAATTTTTTTTATAAAAGTAATGCCGAAAACTAGGCATATTGTTTTCTTGATGGTATGTAAATTTTGTGGTCAATAGACCATGGAGAAAATTCCAAGTGATTGCGGTTTTAATATAATTACTCGTATTATGGATTTAAATAAATAAAGAGTATAATCAAGGGCTGTAGGAAATCCGAGATAAATAGACATTCCATGATAGATGCAAAGTGTAAAATACCCAGATCAGTGTCACATTTGGCTCAGAGACCTCAAATCGTGATCACGAAAAATCCTCCCCACTAAGGGGCGTTAGGGGCTTATGGCCGGCAAGTGAATATTACGAGTTGATAAGGAGAAATAAAGCGTTTTCAAGTTGCTTGTCTTTTCTGCCATTGCTGCATCTAATTATCATTGATTTAAAGTTTACAAAACGTGACAATATAACACAAATATGCCTACGTATATTAAGACATTTTTGACTACATTAAAATAAACGTTCGTTTACCAATGAAACCATCGACTGGTCATAGGTAAAAAAATTAAGACATTGAAGCACAGATCGAACTTAAATCACACAACGCGAATTGTCTGTGTAAGTTTTAGCACTATACATTAATTCTCAGTGAATTATTTTTAGTGAATGTTCATTTAATATGGTGTAATTTATCGCCTCAATGTAGGTGCGATGCATTTGCAGTGCGAAATAGAAGACGCTTTGTGACGCTTTACCAGCGGACGTATGTTTTATTCACATGCATTAAGTTTCACACAATCATACTTTTATATATTACAACACCTACTTCTGTGAAGGAAGTCAAGTGAGAGGAATACGGTAAATTATTTATTGGAGGGACACCTATATACCAGTAGCTAATTTGTATTATTTTATTTATTGTTTTATTTATATGCCAGGAAGGTGAATATGTCCGCTTTTCTTTATTAGGTCACCTAAGTGGTGAAGAAAAAAACAAAATTAATTGAATAAAGACATGAGTATTGAGAAAATAATCAATATGTGTTTTTGGAGATAGGGATACGAAACCAGACCCGTATATTTATCCAATATTTTATACTATAACCAAAGGTGAAAAGTCACATTAGCGGGTCTACTTCGTAGAACTAAACGTGTGTAACAATTAATTTTGGTCATATATGTACTCACATGCTAATAATGGGATAAGGACCACTAGTAACTTCATGACTGGTTACACAATATCTCTATTAGAATGCGGAATTTCAATCTTATTTATTGAATAGTATTATCACTTAAATCCTTTATCATCAGTATTTAATGACAATGTATTATCTATTTGAGTAATCGTTTTTAAAGGTTCGAGAAAGTATAAAACTCATAGCAAAGTAAAAAAAATCTTTTATTTTAATAATAATAATAATTTTGTAGGCTTTTAAAACGTCGGCAAGCAGTCGACGTCAAAGGTCTGAAATTTCTGTACGTAGTACTATTATTTATTTTATGCTATTGTTAACTGACGAGTATAAATGCTTAGGTATATAAACGAAAAAAGACGACAGAGGTGTCAGAATCGTACCAAATAGTTTTTCGTAGCATCTGCCTACCCCTCTAAACCTCAGGCGTCAGTGTATGTATGTAGTGTATACTGAAACGCCATGCTGTTCAACTCGTAACGTCACTATCCTTGAATTTTGCCGATTTTGCAAAGGAATAAGATACTTTTTTGTATTTAATAATGAGTTATCCTCTATAATAATAATAATAAAGCCTCTTTATTCCTTAATAGAAAATAATTACAATAACAACAATTATATGTACGCTTAGAAAATAAAATAAAATATATATTTCAATTAAGGACCCCTCTTTGGGTAAAGGCCTCCTCCATCTTTTCCCACTATTTTCGGTTCTGTGCCATTGTTAACCAAATTTTTTCCGCTGTCTTTTCAATCTCATCGACCCATCTTTCTTTCGGTCTTCCTTGTTTGCGTTTGCCTGTTGGTCCTGTCCACATGGTTGCTCGTTTAGTCCATTTGGTATCCGTAGATCATGCTACCACTTAATTTTTTGAGAGTAATGTAATGCGTCTATCACTCTCGTTTTCTTGCGAAAGTCCCTGTTTTTGTATTTATCTTTTAGTTTTAGGTTTAGGATACTTCTTTCCATTTCACGTTGACATATTTGTATTTTATTCCTTGTTTGTTTATTGAAGATACATGTTTGGCAGCCATATGTGAGACAGGGAAGTAGGCAGCAATCCATGACTTTCTTTTTTAAATTTAGCGGTAGATCTGCTTTGAATATCTCTTTATGTTTCCAAAACTTAATTCAGGTTATAGCAATTCTCCTATCAATCTCGTCTTGATTTCTAGAAATTTTAAAAGATGTTTGTTTGCCTAGGTAGTTATAGTGGTCTACATATTCAAGCTCTATGTTATCTACTTTTATTGGGTGTTTTGTGCTATTTGTGCATACCTTAATTTTTTTCGGTGTTTAGTTTTAGGCCTATTTTTGTGCTTACATTTTTAATTTCTTGTATCATGGCTTAAAGTTTTTTTTTATGTTAATTGGAGAAGATAACAATATCATCGGCGAAGCGAAGGATGTTTAAATAGTTGCCATTGAGATTAACTCCTGCTATGACTTCGGTATTTATTGCTGTTTGAGAGCCCTCCATATACTGTCATGGGAAATAGAGTCGAATGCTTTTACGTAATGTATAAATCCGAGATAATATAGAGGATTACCGAACTCCACAAATTTTTCAATTATTTAATCTAAGGTATGGATATGATCTATTGTGCAGAAACCACTACGAAAGCCCGCTTGTTCTGTAGGTTGCTGTTCATCTATTTGACCTCCTATCCGTTTTTCTAGGCACAATGCGAAAAGTTTATATATTGCAGGTAACAGACTTATAGGGCGATAGTTGCTAGCATTCGTTGAGTCACCTTTTTTGTACAAGAGAATAGTTCTTGATTCTGTCCATTTTTTGGGAACGCTACGTTTTTCTAAAACTCTATTAAACAGTTCCATGAGAGGCGCAGCTAATAGATGTTTGCCAAGTTTCAAAACTTCGTTAGGAATATCGTCAGGACCGGGGATTTTATCATTTTTCAGGTTGTCTATGTTTCTGATGCTTTCTATTTCGGTAAACTTATCAATATTTGTGGAGCCATAAACCTCCTCTAGTGTTTGCTCAGATTTCAGAGTATCTATAGTCCGCATTCGTAGAGGTTCTTATAAAATGCTGTTGTGATAATGACAACATCTTTGCTTGTCTGAATTTCGTGTTTATTTGTTTTAAGTTGTGGTATCCAATTTTTATTTTTATTTAATTGTTTATTAGCTTTTTTTGAGACTCCCACTATTATTAAGATGCTCCTCTAATATTTGTAATCTATGTTGTTGGTAATCTTTCTTTAATTTTTTGTTTGCAGCTTTAAATAATTGTGATAGCTCTTTTTTTCCTCAGAGTTGAGATGTTTTTTATGTTGATGATCTGCACGTCTTTTTATCAATAATTTAGTTTCTATAGTGATGAAACAGTTCCTTTGAAACGGTTTTTGAGATTTCGCCTGATTTAGGCAATATTTTATCAAAGATTCGATTTTTTCATAAAAAGACTCTATGTTGTCTTTTTATCCAAAGTATAGTTCTCTTGACTTTTGTTCAAGGGTGTTCTGGTATTTATTTTGGGCAACTTTTTTAGTTTCTTTAAAATTGAGTTTCTAGAGCTGAAATATTTTCTTGTTTTTTTTTTTTGTTTTCCAAGACTTATAGAACCTCGTACCAGCCTATGATCCGTTGGAAATATATTATTATTTATTACTTCAATGTTTGTAATTTTTTTAAAATTGTTACTTAAAATGAAATCGATTTGGTTCTTTGTCTTTTTATTGGAGGAAATCCATGTCTACTAGGATGTTGATTTTTTTAAAGAAAGTATTTATTATTTGAAATTTGTTCTCTAAAGCACTTTGAAGAAATAAGTCACCTCTGTGATTTCTTTTTCCATAACAGAAAGGTCCCATAACCTTCAGTTCTTTACATTCCCCTTACCTTATTTTGCAGTTAAATCAAAATAAGGTTGTTTGCAGCAATAGATTGCGCTTTTCGTATTGTGTTGTAGAACTCATGCATCTCTTGGTCTGTTGCATCTAATTTAGTTGCGTATACTTGAATAGTGGACAGTTCTTTTTCCTGAAACTTTTATTTGAGTACGCACACTCTTTCCGAAAGCCCTGTGTAGTTTTGTATATTACATTTATACTTCTTTTTTTACCAGGAATCACACGCCATAGAGTTCTCCGGATATCCCCGTGTAGCAAAATATATGGTCTTCATCTTCTACTATGTGGTTCCCAATTCTTCGTATCTCTGATAGTCCTATTACATCGTATTATATTAGGTAGGGATGTTTTAAGAAGTGCCAGTCTTTTTGGTGATTTTAGAAATCGTATATTGTACGTACAGATGTAAAGTTTTTGCGATGGAGAGTTTACAGTCGTTCTCTCCCGCGCGGACTAGCCGTATTGGGAGAGTAAGAGGGGTAGGTGATTGTTATTCTGTATTGCTTATTCGGTTAGAGTTTTCTGATTCTGTAGATTTTTGTGTCAAGTATTGTTTCATATTAATTTTATTTTTCTTTGTGGGTTGCTTGTTAATTGGTTTGTCGATTTCCTCTACCGATATAGTTACCTCTGGAGATTCTGATAGAATTCGTTTGTTTGATTTTGTAGTACGGTTTACTATCTCAGCGTTTTTATTTCCTTTTAATATTATTATTTTATCGTATTTCAGTAAGGCTTTTTTCCCTGTTCTTGGGCTTCTTTAAGCTTTACTTGCAGTTCTTTTCTTTTTTGGAGCACTTCTAATGGAAAATCTTCCTGTATGTAGTATGGTGTGCTCTTTAGGAGTATTTTATTTTTTAATAATTTTATCTTTTTACCCATCGTGGTGTAGGTAGTCTTCTAATGTACTCCATGTTGTTGGC